TAAACAGCTGATGGTCTGATTCAGCACGGCTGTTCTTAGACTGGTGGGCTAAGTCTTCTTGAAAACGCCAATTTCAAGTCTAAACATTCTACATTGCCTAACAAAGCACTGTTCTACCAAATCTTGGTACACAAAAAATTCATTCATTATTGCTTGACAAAGCAAATGCCACATCAGAAAATGAATTTCAACAAATTATATTTATTCTCTATTTTTTTTTAATCATGTGAGATAGTTACTCCAAATTGTATTAGTTTTCTTGAGAATACAAGTTAGTATTTTTTTGCTTAGTTGGGGTTTTTTTAGTCAGAGAATTACTCCAAATAGTTTCACTAGACTCACATATCATGACCAGAACACAGTCATGATAAAGTTCTTTGTTAGCTTTATTTAGAAAATATCCTTTGTTTAAGAAGTTTTAATCGAGCTTTGACAGACAGGAACAATTATTGACCTTTGTTGGCTTTGCCCCAGATTTTCTACCTGATTCACAACCCTGTGAATAAATAAAAGTAAGCCACTAGAGAAATTACTGATTTGTCCAATAAGGTTGTTTTAAATTCTTGGCTCTCCTATCGATAACAACACTTTGACTGTATTTGTTTGGCTAAGCAGTCATGCATTTTACCGTGTGACAGCTACAATTAGACACATGATAGCATGCATGAGGCAGAAAGACTATAGTGTAGGCATACGAGAGAAACAATTCTTTTTAATGCAATAAAAGAAATTCCGTAGAGAAAAAAATAAATCCCAGTTACTGCCATTCTTAAGCATTATCCTACTTCATGAACTTTATCCCTTAATGCTATGCTGGTACTTTTCTATCTCATTCTCTACTTTCTAGCCAGTCATGTAACACAAGTTGTCATTGCATCAGTTGTTCTACTCCTGAGAAATACTGGTTGAAATGCTAGAATTTAAAAACATTTCGTTTTAAACAGATCAAGTTGTGAGAGAGGGAAGGATCGATGTTCCATAGAAGTCTATCAAGTATCTAAACTGACTTGCCTGGGAGTAGTTTCCCTGACCTTCTTCATACTTATATTTCCCTGGACACAAAAAAGGATTAAATAAAATCTGTTAGTTAAAGACGATAGCAATTTTATCATATTCAGAACAATTTATAAAAATATGTCCTTTTAACCAAATAACGATGATTATAATTGACTTGCCCAAAGAAAACTGTATAGGATTTTTTGTTGTTTGTTTGAGGGTCTTCTGGTTTGTTTCGTTTGTTGGGGTTTTTTTTTACTAGTCACATATTTTGTAAGTTGCTGATCAAATACCGCACGTGGATGCACCAGACAGCAGCTTCTGACCATCACATGCAGAGAACCAGTACCCTGCCCCTGGACTGTAGAGTAGGGATGCTTGAAACAAGATACTTGTTGCCCAAATGCGTGCTTTGCTTCACCTTTTTATTCTTGCTTTGTACAGAGGAGCAGAATGTTACCCCACACCAGAAACAGATTTGAAAATACTGGAGAATGTATTGTCAAAAGCAGAGAAAAGACCTTCTTTAGTATCATACTAGCCAGAATGCGAGTCAATGTTGGAGAATACAGTCTCCTGTTCTCCACTGTAATAAGAGCAACTAAAAAGACTCAAAATCTTCAAACTGGAGTCTAGAAAGACTGGAGCACTTGGCACCAGGGTGAGAAGGAAGGGTTTCACGTAACCATATCATCATTCGAATCTTACAACTTTGATCATAGTTTTACTTTGCAAAGACACTCACAAAAGTCATAAAAGACTGGCCCTTCTCCAAAAGTTACAGTCTTCACTAAACAGGTAGTCTAAGCAATTTAGCTAAATTACTACAAACAAAAGCATCACGGATAAACAAGGCTTAGGCATTTCAAACAGCTTTAAGCTTGGTTTATATTTGTTTACTGTAACTGTGTAAAGGATTTAAGATTTACTATATCTCAAAGTGGAAAAACAGTTGGATCTGTAATACTTTATTATGTATCTTGATTTTAAAAAAATCTTTTAGTCTTTAAAAAAACTGCATTCTTTCCATTTCAAAAATGAAAAAGAAATACAAAGTTACCCAATTCACCCCTGGGGTGGGATGGGGAGAGAACATATGCTGCATTATCCAAAGTTTGGTCTAAGCACCAAGTTTTGGAGTGTTTTACTAAAGGATAGAAAAATAGTAACATCAATGCAAGAAAAAAAAAAAATCTATTCCCCCAAAAAAACCCACCAAACCATGTAGTTCTCCAGTAAACACTAAAAAAAGGCAGTAGTCCATCCAGTACACAAATTATCACAGTCTAAAGAAAATGCAAGCAATTTGAATATTTAATCTACTAGAATACACCAGTTTGTTTACATGAAAATAATTTAATGTCTATAGACGATACGGAAGGGCTCTCACAGTTCAAAGAACTTACTCATTTTTTAGCTACTTTATGACTGGCCTTCTGAAAGTTAATCTGAACTGGCATGTTTTCAGTCATCTGAATTAGATTTATAGGCCAGTAACTTTTAAGATAAAATAATTGATGGTGTGTGAATCTTCCATTTTTCTAAATACATATATATTTTTAAATGGCTTTGGGGATTTCTTGTTAACATAAAATATGCCTACCAACAATCTTCGAAAACGTATACTTTGTGTTAAAATTGGCATGACAAATTTTACATATTAATAAAGTTAACAATGCTTTCTATTTTGTTATATAATACTATTATTAGATGACATAAAACTTAATTCTTCTCAAGTGATCCTTAATTGACTTGAAGTTGTCCAAATTCTCTCTTTTAATTTAAGGTGATTGCTCTAGGCTTTTAGTTTTAAAAAATCATACATTACGGGATTTGGACATACAGATCATTAGCTACTTTCAAAAAAATACAGGCTGAAAATTTTATTTCAAGATTCAGAAATCTTCACAGACTTGTGTATTTTCCAAACGCGTCTACTTTATTTTATTAATTTGAAGCACTGTTTAGATTTGTTTTCATGAATGAAAAGGCTTGACAGTAAATGGATTAACTTTCAGGCTGTCAGCTTACATAAAGACACAGCAAGAGCTGAATCATCTTTTTCTTTTCCTTGGAGGTCAGAAGATAACAATCAGTCAAAACTACAATGAGTCGGATATTTTTATCCTTCTAAACCCAAACTTTTTTCCACCAGCCACTGTAAATAAGTGCAGATTAATTTAACTACACTGCCAAAGTATTTCTCTGAATACCATCAGATCTTTGGTTTGTGGGCACCTTGGTGTTTCTAAGCCCTAATAACTGATTGACTGTTATTGCCTACTAAAAAGAGCAAGATGCCTGCACCACTTAGAGCATTCTAAGGATTAACAGGGAGTGAGGAAAAAAAAGACAGTAACACACAGTGAAGTTTTGTCATCATGATGTAAGATAAAGACCTGCTATTCATTTAACTAAATGAAGAACTTAACTCGGGAAGTTAAGCTCCAGAAGAATTTAGTAACTTAACTTTTAATGAATATAGGACTTGATTTTAGCAAAGAAAAAAAAAAGTAAAATTTCCATGGGAAAACCACTTACTTTATATGTAGTATTCACTATTCCATAATTAGGCTCTGTCTTTAGTAATTTAAGTAGCAGAACTCAGTAGGAAAAGATTTGCTGCCTGCCAGAAAACCCCATCTCATTCTGAAAACCCAACAATTTGGAAGCACATCAATACTTCCTGCCTACTTGATACACACAATGAGACAGTAATTTTCTTTTAGTCCTCTGGGAAATTTTCCTCTTGAGCATATCAATGTCTACAGAATTACCTGTTTTCTTATGACAGGCACACTTTATAGCAAGCATAGCGGTGTATGATATTCTACTCATAAACTTACTCTGAAACAAGTGTGTACGCTTTATAGACAAATCTGGAAAAGACTTCCTACAATTTATTGAGAAAAGTCAGAATAATAATGGAGGTGAGCTACTAAATGGCATCCATTGTAAAATAATCTGGCACTTGCCAGAAATCAAATAATTCTTGTTTTATACAGTTTATTAAATAAGCCTTGTAGAAATAATACTTGGTTTTTACAAAAGAAAAAGTACAGCAGGAAAAAAAGCCTATGATGAATGGAAAACACACCACTGAAGGTTATAAATATACCTATCTGGGGCATTCAGAACTTCTTTGACTTAGTGCAAGTGATATTCCTGTCACATAATCTTTTCTTATTAAGGAATAAATACCAAGATTCTTGAAAATAGTATCTATGTCTAGATACTTCTCAGGGAATATTTTTTTGTTAGCACTCAATGTAGAGTGCACATTTCACTGACAAAACCAGCTCATTTTAAAATTTACTAAGTAAATATAACTACAAACATAACAAGACGCAGCTGCTTATGCCCTTTAAATAACATCTAAACACTAAATAAATATTGTACTTGAAATTTTGTTTAGAAGAGTAAAGTCTCCATGTACCAAAAGACAAAGGCACAGGTAGTTGTGCTAGATTATAAATGAATAAAATAAAATATTAAAAATATCAGTGAGTTTAAAGGTACAGCAAGGCTTGAAACATTTGCTTCAATCCTGCTACAAAACAGACAAGATGCTTTGATGGAAGCCAATATTTTAAAATAAGATGACACAAAGACACATTATCTATGCAGAGCCTGTTTTAAAACAATATATTTTTAATTTATTTCATTACCATGTTATTATTCTGAAAAACAGGTGGTTCCTCAACATCTTCTTTCCATAAGACCTATATCAAAGAACAATCCGGGCCATACAATTAAATAAAGACACACTGAATGCCTTTATTGTGTTATGCACAAACTTGAAGCGGGCAATGACTTTCCAACAGCTAGTCACGTATTCTTTCTTTCTTTCTTCATAATATTTACTGCTATTCATCAATTTTCTAAGATCTACTACTTTACTTTCTCTGCCTCTACGCTGATTAGTTTAGTTCAGAAAGTCAGTATAAGTAATAATGCAAGATGATGAGGTTTTTTTTTTTATTAACCAAAGATCATATATTTACCTTCTGCAAGCATGTCTGGCACATCTGCTTGATATCTAGGCCCCACTCTGATTTCTCCCTTGTCTGCTAAAAGTGTTTTCAGTGATGGATCATACACCAGTGAATAAAAAAAAGTATCCTAAAAGAGAAGACACATTTGCAACAGCATAACGATTTTTAAAATTAGGTTTGTCTGTATCATCTTTCATTTGGAAATTATTACAGTACCCCTCTCTCACACACTGCTACAGAGCACAGGTTTGGTACATTAATCCTTATTCTCAATAATGCAGATGGTTCATGGGTACTTCTAAATGGCTAACTGAAGCTTCTCTCATAGTTACGAGTTATTTCAGAGCGAAGCAATAATTAAAAGATTCATACACAAAAATACAAAGGATTTTGAAAGAATCAATGTTAACTGCTTTCTGAATTCAACATATTTCCTCTCCTAAATATCTCTACCATACTGACTTAACATTATAAATTAGTCTCAAAAAGTATAAAACACTGTCAGTGTCTGAAAAGAGCTGACTCAAAAAGAGTATTGGCATATCTGGTACAGATACGAAGTACCTGTATCTGAAGTACAGGGCAAGTCCTGTTTTCAGAAACATTTTTACTGCTCATCAGTGGTTTAGCTGTAGAAATTTAAAAATAAAGACATGCTAATTTCACCTAAAAAACACTGACTGCCTGGTTATATTTAGACATTCCAAAGAAAAATATGTTTATTCCAAAAGATACTTTGCAATAGTTATCTTTCTAATTCTTGGGGAATTTTCTTCCCCTCTGGTAAGGCTAAGCACCCTAAGTTCCATCCACAGGAAATGGAAAGTAATAAATACAGTAATTCAGAGCCCTTAAAATTTAACTCCTATGCTAAGTGTCTCTCTAGGAGTCTTTCTTGCTTTCTCTGTCCATTGACTATGGAAGACCTTTCTAGAACACCTCTAGGGGGAAAAAAAAAAAAGACCTTAAAAAAGGAAAAACTAAGAAAAGCCATGCAAATTCCTCCATAAATATTCACTACAGAAAATAATTTGTATATTTTTCTTCTGTAAGAGAACATATTAATTACTTCAAATTATTTTGTAAATACAATCATATTCATAATAAAACTATTATTTAAGAGTGTCAATTAAGTTTTTATCCAATACCACTTTCAAAATCAGTGTTTTCAACAAAATAATTTTTCTAACTTATCATTCAAGAAAAAGATTTTCCAAGTATTGTTTGCTCATTTATTGAAAATACAGCAATAAAAAACCCCATTTCCCAATATTTACCCAAATAGAAGTCCCATATTACCTCTTTCTCCAGATACGACAGCACAGATTCTGTCTCGTTCAGAAGTGCAACACTGCATTTTCCCCTACACAAACAAAAGGGAAAACTGTTACTTTGTAAAAAGTTCAAATTTTTATTAAATCCAAAATTTACTTGCAAGAAAGCAATCTAGACACACTTTAAAATTTTACATTAAAAATACAGTAAAACGGACTTTGCCACATTTCTAAGATACCAAAATTAACATCAAAGCAATAAAATGAATGGCTGTACTGACCCAAGGACTCAAATATGTAAGAATTCTGCAAAACTGGGAAACAGTTTCAGAAATAGAGAAGTAATAAAGGAACGAGCGGCACTATAGCAAATAATAGACATGCAATTTAAAAAGGCCTGGATGAATGAAACATCACCTCCAACTGACCCACCTCCAGTAAAGTCAGTGCCTAATTTCAAAACAAATAACCCAAACTGGAAACAATATAAGTATCAATGACCTGTAAAAGTAAAGTACTTCTTTTTTTTTTGAATGGAATTGTTGCTAATAATTAATGGCAGAACTCTACACATTTATGCTATGGCCACATTAAAATGCTAAATACCACATTTTTGTGCCGACTGCCAGTAGAAAGCTTCCCATTAATTAAGCGGTGGTAGAGATTTACCCACATACAACACATGTAGATAATGCAATGGACGTTTGATCCCACTATCCCTACCCCTCTTCTCTTCCCCAACATTCCTTTGGCCTCAATTTCCTCTGTCTCCAAGTTCTTTGCAAATAATCTGCAGAATTATTTTTTAACAAATGGTATTTTAAACACATACAGATGTGGATGAAAAATGTTAATTGTGCTGAATCATCTTGCTAGCAACTGGCATTTTTACTTAATCATTTTCAATCAAACTAGCATTTTATAATAATATGTATTTATTTCCCCTTACATACATCACCTTATAGTTCACGCAAAAAGTTTTATTACATTTCTATCAGTTTATTCAGTATTTACCAGGAGGTTCCAACTTATAAGACCTCTGCCTAGAACGCCCTTCTCCCATGGAACAGACCAGCACAAATATAGAAAAGATAATTTATTGCAGAAACCTCCTTGATTTTAAGATAACACCGAAGCAGTTATTGTAAAAAGGGTCGTTCATTTCACTGAATGTTAACTATTCAGCTGAACCATAAGCATAAAATGCCAATTGTTAATGGCTGATCATTAAGGGAACATACCCAGCTAATGTCTTATTCATTACCATAGCACATCATAGGAAATGGAGTTAAACTACTCAGGAAGTCTGCAGTGTATAACCTCAACTGCTCTTAAACTGTATTTGTCAGGAGAACCACACAAATAGTGGGAAGATGAGCAAGGAAAATCTGAGCACAATAGACAACAGCAGAGGAAAAGACTCCCACAGTAGAGAACTAGGAAACCTTCTCTATACCCGACCATGTCTTTGAATGTTTTTTGAAGCTCTTCAACTTCATAATTCCAGAATATCCACTTCTAAAAATTAATTGTATGTTGTACCATGAAGTCAGCTCGTCAACTTTATTTTAATGGAATTTTTTTTTTAGTGGTAAAGGCTAAACAGGAGTTTACTGTTCCAGTTTGCTTCTGTTCCATATACCTCTATAGCACGCTCTCTCTCCGCTGCAGCCTACTCTTATTACACTCCAATTATTGCAGGGGCATTCCTTCACTGCCACTGCGACTGCAAGAGTATTTTATTGACTGACCTTATACTTTATTGCTAATAATGTAAAAAAAAAAAAAATCACTTTATTTCATTAAGAGACAGGATTAATCTCCCTAGCACATCTTCTAAGTGAGTGAATTTCTATTTGATGTTGCATTTCTTTGTACAGCATTTTAACCACCTAATGGCTGCAATCACACACACAAGCAATATTTTATATGCATTTATGATATCTCACATGCACAGACTGAAGTCTCAAAGACAATACCATACACACAGCAATAGATACCACACCAAAATTTAATAAATAAAAGACTGAAATTTTAAACAGGTAAATTACATAGTGTCAAAATTAAAAAAAATCTGTATTACAGTTAGCAGTTTCTATAATCTAGAAACCTGCAATACTTATTACAAATTATTTAGAATCTTTACCAAACACATAAAAGCCCACCATTTATATATCTCCTTTTTCTCTTTTTTTCCATCAGAGGAAGATCCTCTCAGCCTATTGTAAATGGTCCACTGGGTTGAACCAAGCATCTAGCTCATAATACTGCTTCTGCCATCTTTCAGTCACAGATGCCTATGAAATAACTTACGTAAATACAGATTTGCAGTGACAGGTTCCTAAATACTCTCTCCAAGTACCACTGCACTCTATCCTTTCTTCCAATACTAATAAACAAAATGCCCTGGAGAGAAAGTTAATGTGGTTTAAACCACATTACAACAAGACTTGGAAGTTCTTTCTCTAAGGATTGTATCTAAAACCCTAGAGTTTCTCCAGATTTCAATATAATAGTCTCCTCCTCACAGTGTTCTGCAACTTTGTTCAATAATGTTCTTAAAGAATTTCAGATAATTGTGACAGATGAAGCTATATCAAATAAAGAATCAATATAACAGAATAAAATCTGACTATTTTAACCTAGACAGCAGAAAAAAGGGGGAGCTAGCTACCTACAGAGACAAGTGAAAGAGAATATACACTGCATTTAACAGATTTTAAAACCAGCTACACACCAAAATAAGATGATACTCTCTTTGCAAAGACATTAGGATATCTGAAATTTTTAGTATAATTGAGACTGGCAGAGTACAATGCCATAGTTTCACTGGTCTGTTGGTAGAGGGATGAGGAAAAGGTTGAGGTACTTAATGCCTTCTTTGCCTCAGCCTTTAGTAGGAAAACCAGCAGTACTCTGGGTACCCATTCCCCTGAGCAGGAAGACAGGGATGGAAAGCACAGTGAAGCCCCCATAATCCATATACACAAGATATACACAAGTCTATGAGGCCAGATGGGATCCAACCCAGGGTCCTAAGGGAGCTGGCAGAAGTGCTCACCAAGCCACTTTCCATCATTTATCAGCAGTCCTGGGTGACTGGGGAGGTCCCAGTTGACTGGAGGCTTGCAAATGTGACACCCACCTATAAGAAGGGCTGGAGGGAGGACCCAGGGAACTACAGACCTGTCAGTCTGACCTCGGTGCCAGGGAAGGTGATGGAACAAATCATCCTGAGTGCCATCACACAGCACATGCAGGACAACCAAGCGATCAGGATGAGTCAGTGTGGCTTCAGGAAGGGCAGGTCCTGCTTGACT